CCCTGGCAGGGGCGCTCCCTCCCGCTGGCCGCAGCGGCGGTGCCCGCAGGGGCTGCCTCGGCTGGCACCAGCTCTTCTCGTTAGCTCGGTGTGTTCATTCTGCCCCAGTGCGTCGGTTTAATGAGCTCTCGCAGCTGGCGTTTCTGCGCGCCCCGGCAGCACCGGGCAATCAAGGTGCTGCTGCCGGTGCTCCCGGACAAGGTGCACTGGCACAGAGCGCTTGAGAAAAGTCTCTGCCCCTACCTGCAAGTGGGCTCTGCGCTTGGACACGTGCGTGGCTTTCCTCGGGGGGCGGAAAAGTTGCTCCGCAGTTGGATACGCGGGTCCCCAGCCCACGGCTTCTGGGCAGACACTGTCCTGGAGCTGCTCCTTCCACAGGGTGGTAAAGCTGAGGCGGAGGGGACGTCGGGCACCATCTCAGGGTACGAGTTGCTGGGCGCTCTTTGAAGCTTTGACCACAAACGCTAAAACTCTGCACTGGGCACAGCTTCCTCTGGCACCAACCCCGATGTGGCGCTGCCTGGCTTGACACTGCGGCGGGGAATGGGCCACGGCCTCTGCGCTCCAACCCCCTCAGGCTCTTGTTTCTTTTCGGGTTTTTATCCACCATGTACATGCAGTTCTGCAGCCTTGGTGCACCCTGCTACCAACTCTGGGGCTCCAGTTTCTTCCAAGACTTTGCAGGCAGGAGAAGAACGCGGGGTCCCCTGCTTGCTGCAGCTCTGCACGTCAGGGCCACGAGCGTCGCTCTCGGCACCCCGCGGGCTGCGGGAGGAGGCGCCGCTCTCCAGCACGCGCGGCTGGTGCCAGCGGCGCTGCAAGGTGGGCAGGAGCACGGCGGTGGTGCTGGTGCTGGACGCGGTTTCACCTGGGCTCTTCCTGGGCTCCCGGGGTCTGCCCTCAGCACAGCAACAGCCTGAGCATCCCGGGCGCCGGAGCCATCCCTGGGCTGCCCCTTGCTCTTCCTGGCCCCTCAACAAGGACCTCTGGCCGGGATGTGGGCCTGGAGCTTCTTGAGAACAGCTTCAACTTGCTTGTTTGTCAAAGGGAAGGGATAAAGCTGATGGGTTGGGACACCTGGCTACCTGTTTCTGCAGGGACTTCTACCTTTCTGGATCTGGAGGTGGGGAGGAAAAACAGCTTGATGGCCCCAGTGAAGGCGAACAGGGTGTCTTCAGCTACCAGCCTCCCTGGTTGCTTCTGGAGGACGCTGTTTTTTTTTTGCCTTCTTTTGTTATTGCTTCACGCGGTCCTCAGGAGCCTCTTTCTGTCTCACGGCTCCTACTCGCGCCGGAT